CTTTTTGTCAAATTACCACTTTATTTCCTGACCCAGGTGGCCAGATATGACACATTACTCATTTGTAAAACGTAAGCAAAATATTAACACATTATTTTGTATGAAAATGAAAAATAGTGGAAATCAAAATTTACCAACAGAATTGATAATAAAGTGTGGAGCACAGGTGAGAAACATTTAACATTGATCAAGGAGATAAGTAATTTCTCGGAACTATCCGTGTGGATTATGAACTACTGTCATAACTTGGCAAACAGGTTATGAATCTCTTTTACTGTGCAACAGACAGAATATTCATCATCCAGACGATTAGAAGAGTATTTGAGGATTCTGGAAATACCTTCAGAACAGAACGTTGCTGTGTGTTTCTTTATAAAAACTCGTGTTCATATAACATATGAGAGACACAAACTGGGGCTTAGACAGCCAGTATGTTTCAGAAGCATGTTTATGAACAATATGATTATCGGGCTCAGGATTACAATGTAGTGTGCCTATGCAAAGCAAGGTAAGAGAAAGCAGAAAAACAGCATTTTTCTTGACTTTTGCTTTGACTTTCATCTCTTCGAGACATTCTTATAGACAAATGAACTACAAAGTACAGTAAAGATAATCTAAAGGGAGCTACAGCTGGTCTTTAGCAAGAGTTGGATGAGTCATATGCATGGGAATGTCTTTTGTGTCATTACTATTTGCAAAATGTCTTTGTAAAGTTGTAATGATATGTTCAATTATAGTAATCCTATCAAGCCCACCATTGTGTTCAAGCCTACCTTGAACACAATGGTGTCTTACTGTTGTTATTAGTGCAGGGCAGAATATTTTAGACAGACTGTTTTCACTTTGTTTGCATGCTGACTTGCAACTGCAACTAAACATGAAGGTGGCATCTTTGCAAAACAATGGGGTTTCCATTTCCAGTTGCCTCAGACAGCATTGTAACAACCGGTACTAAAATATTTCCCCTCCTACATAGAAGACACTTCACCTTCAGAGAATGAGTGGGAGAAATCTGTCATGAACAAGCAATATCAGCAGGTTTTTGTACGACGGCATGCAGACCTGACCTGAAGTGCAGAGATAAGAACGTGATAAGCTGATGGATTCCACATTGGACATTTCTGGAGTTATCCTGGATTCTGGGCCATGAGGAGTGTGATGTAAGAGGGAGGGTGGAGCCAGATTGATTCAATAGCTCAACTGTGTGCTTTGTGGCGTGATTTGGGCCCCAATTTGGAACTCCATTGTTTGATTGGATGAGTGCTAATGTGGTTAAGTAATCAAGCAAATTGCTGCTTCATGCATTGCTAAGGGCAGAGAGTTGTCTGCTCTGTGCTGAAGGGTTTTTACCCTAAATCAGGCTCGACAACGACCTTCAAGCTCTAAACGCAGTTTTCAGTTTTTCATAGCGGACAGAACTGCTGTAACATGAATGATATCTTTCACCAAAATTCAGAAACAGCAGCATAATGTTTTCATTGTTTTTCTTAGGAACATTTGAATAGCAAACGATCTTCTGTCCAGCCGCTGAATGTGAAATGTTGTGGATGTTCCAGGAAGCATTGATTCACCACAGCCATGATACACACTGGGACTTATAAAGCAATCAACAATCATAGATCTAGCAGTTAGAGTTGCCCACAACCCTCAAAAGCTAATTTGGGATTAACCCTTGCCTCCACAGAAACAGCCACAAGTTACCCTGCCTTCTGTCTGAAGACTGGCTAATGTTGTCCTATGTAGAAGGAAGTGTTGATTGAACAATTGGCCCTTAAACCAGACTTCCTGTCTTAAGCATTCATCCAACACAATGTCTCATCAGCCTCTCTAAAGCAGCTCTCTCATAACATTGTGGGAAATTATTGCTTCCCTTTTTTTTCCCTTAATAGAGTGACCTACTGCTGGAGGGTAGAGTACTGTACAGCTGCAGCACATGTAGTTTAATATGTTCCTTTGAGTATAACCCTAAACTAAAAGGCACCTTTAAAAAAAGAAAAATTTCCATGCAGACGGTTCCTTTTTTATCATATGGCCACACAAGCAGGAAGTAGGTTTAAGTGACCTGCAAAATTTATGTTGCTCTCTGCTCTCTATCTAACCTTCTTCTCTGTCTTGTTTTCATTGTCTCTTTCTGCTTTTGGCTCTTAGCACGCAGACAGCTACCCTCTACCCCCTTATCCTGCGCACAGGAATTCATGCATATGAGCACACAAACACAGACGCTGACACACACACACACACACACATCTCACCCAGTCCTCACACAGTCCCTTCCTGCTGCTATTGTAACAGAGCTCACAGTTCTCCTTTCTATCTGGGCTGCAACTGTCGCAGCTGCTGCGAGAGGAGGATGTGTGCGTGAGGGTGTGTTCACGAATGTGCGTTCAGCTCTCTCCCATCACAAGTTGATCGAACGTGGCCGCATGCTTGAGTCAGTTGAGTTTGGTGTCCGTTTGTCCATTTGGATATATGGCTTCTCTAAGTAGAATGAAATAAACATGATGGACATGTACTCGAGGGTTTGGTCAAGTCACCGGGCCAAGCAGGGCTTGACTCTGCCGGTGGTTCCTCAGGTAGGTGATTGCATGGCCATAAACATTTTTTGTTTTACTACATTATAAAATTTCAGTGTCTGTGGTCAGCGTACTTACAGCCTATATATTTTGATAACAGTCTTGCTTCCTGGTTTGCGTAAACATGTCACCTCTGCAGTTCTTTTCCTGTTCAGTGGCGTAAATAGTGAACTCTCAGTGCTGAATGTTTGTTCTGATGTTTTCGATTTTTAGTTTGGATGTTACAGAACCATTTTTATGTGTCCTTATGTGTTAAATGGCATGGACTTTAGTCTCAAAAAGGTAGTTTTCACCAGAAAGTAGCAGTGATAAACGCTGTATTCATGTGTTTACGTTTGAATTTGACAGTTTCACTTCTTGACACCTGCTTTCAGTGAGTATTTCAGTCAGTTCTTGAGAAGATGAACAACACGTGATATGATGTGTAATGTCTTACTGGTATACACTATGCAGCTGCGCCAAAATAAAAGAGACAAAAACATTTTACAACTTAACAAACGATTT